CAATCCCCGATTCTAACCATATTCTTATCAATACTTGATGATCCTAGCGATACCTTTGAAGATGTTAAAAGTTGATTAACTCTTTTAACTTCTACACAACGACCAATTACCATCTCGCTTTTTATATAACTAAATTCTGACACAGGAGTAACGATTAAGTAAACGATTCCATTCCTAATTGGATATACAACTCCTAGTACGACAAAATCTTGCAATGGTTTACCAATAACCTTATAATCTACCAAAATATAACTATTGATTTGTGGTTCCACTAAAGCCTTAATGGATACTAATCCGTGACAGTTAATATCAGCGGAAACAACAACCTTGAGCATATTACCATTTACTATATCAGTTTTTCTAAAGGGCATCTCATCATTAATATTAAGAAAATAAAGCTTCTCTGCAGTTTTGTATATGATTACATGTGACTGCTCCGTAAATGACTGTCCAACAAGTAGGGGAAACTCCAGGTACTCGTCAGCGACTACATGGCAAACGACAACCGCCTTAACACCGTCAATAGTTATATCTACCGAAACATTCCCAAAAGTATGAATAAACCATTGCCAAACCCTTTTAAAACCGTTACTTCACTAGTACAGGTTAATCCTAAACGAGAAGCAAGTGATTGTTTTAACAATGTAACTTCGCTACCAAAGTCTATGAAACACTTAGCAGAGACTTTGTTCACCTGAACTTCCTTATAAAATTTTGAACTGGGATTATCATTAGATATGAGCATAGTTTTAGTAATAACTGGGTTAACTTTATCTTTAGAAAAACAATTTTCTATTGCATGTCCCATCTTATTGCACTTGCCACATTTAACAATAGGTTTGGGGCATTTCAAAAATGGGTGACCCTTTTCTTTACAATTATAACAAAATATGTTGCTATTCTGAGTAAAATTTGATTTGTTGTTTGTCTTAATGTAATTAGTATTATTATTTAACGTATCTTGTCCGGTTTTAAACTTATAATGAGTTCGATCAAAAGTTTGAGTGGATTCTTTATTACTCATAAAAAATTGTAACAATTGTTCTGGTTCTAAACAACGTAATGAAGTAGCGCTTATTTTCATAGATTAATCATTCAACCCATGTATAATACATTCGACGGCACGCTTTCCCTCAATGTTGCATTGGTTCAATAAGGCTAGTTTTTCGTAATAGTATATTTCTATAGGTTCATTTAGTCTAAATTTTCTTTTAAGCATATCTTCCAGGGTTTGTCCATAATTTTGTTCGCACGGAAATGCATTGATCAATTTCTTTTGCCACTCTGACCAATTAAAAAGAATAGAAGGCAAACTATCGAACCAAGTCCTGGCCAAACCCTGGAGTTTTTGCATAGCAAAATGAGCAGTTGTTGCATCGTCCCAACCGTAGATAGTCGCACACTCATTCACCTTCTTCAACCAAACATCGATTCGTTGATTCTTTGATGATGGATCAAATTCCGATAATATATTTTTATGACTAGAGTAACTAGGCGTTTGTGTGGTCGATGTCAACGGTTGTGACGGGGTATTCTTTATAGAATTTATCATATTTATAACTTCCTTGCAGGAAAACAAAGGACTGGCGGACCGTTTTGCCGCAGAAGCAGGTTCATCAAACCGGCTTTTTTGTTTTTCAGGACCGTCATTATTGCTGCTCGTACTTTGCACTCTTTGAGGATATCTTGAAGGCGTGTTAGCTGAATGGTGCAAACTATAATGACGGTTCTGTTGTTCAACATCATTTACATTTACTTGACTCACTTCCCAAGTAACACATAAAAGCAGTATAACGGCCGACTTACAGCATTTCTGTATCGTTTTAGCATTTTATATTAGTTTTACAGTAGCCGTATAAACGTTTATACGGCTACTGTAATGCTTATTTGGGCACAAATTAAAAAGCTTTAGATCCTAAATGGGTTCACAATAGTTGTTTGATTGCATTACAGGCGCATTTTATTAGCAATATTATGGTCAAGGAAGCTACCAATCGCATTATAAAAACATTATTAGGGTCAAACAGTCGCTAATCGCATTACAGAAGCATTATGCTAGCAATATTATTGATAATGAAGATGTTAATTGCATTACAAAAGCATTATGCTAGCATTATAACGTAGTAGAAGCATGATTATAACTATTTAAGTGTTCACAGTTAGAATTTAAATAAACCCTACATCATTGCAAAACCGCCTTTAATAAGTGGGACTTAATGTTATAATAAAAAAAACGTTGTATTTTACTTTAACTCCCTAAAAACAAAACTGAGTGAAGTGCTATTTGGGAATTCAGAAAACTAAATATATAACACTGGGTAAGTTTTTGACTTTTTTGTTATTTCTTACCTTCAAATATTACTGCGCAGTGTAGTTTAGTGTAATTGTCTATATAAGTTTCATTGAAAATTTTCACGCGCCTTTGATATTTTGTGGTTTTCATGTTAAATGTTATTTAAAGATATGTATTTAAAACCAAAACAAATTGTGTGTTCCTACTATAGAATGAATTTTGCATAATTAACCTAATATAATAAGGTTGGGCAGTATTAAATTAAGTTGTTTAGTTATTATATAGGCTTATTTCTTTTTAAATCGGCCCGAATGATAATATTTATTGGTAATAAAATATTAACAAAATGGTGTCGAATTTATAGCAGCCCGGTGAGTCTTTAAAAAGACAAATTAATGCTGCCAGCAGTATAAATATTCACGCGTGAACAATAACTAAGCCATTGGCTAAAGATAAGACATTAGATGAACCACTGCAATGCCATTGTATATAAAGTTGTCCTATGTGGGTTCACCTGTATACCAATAGACTTCATGTAGACTGAAATAGTGCCATTACTTGAACCCAATTTTGGGGGTTCTTAGGCAAAACAATAAAACCCATCTCAGAATTTTTGTATAAGTTGAATCTGTTTGCTATGAGTTATCAAAATACTTTCTGAACGTATTATATACATAAATATTCTTCCGCGTATCTTATTGAAATGCATTGAGTTATAATTAAATAACTCAACTCGACGATTGGAATAAGAAAATATAGCAAAAACAAGAAATAACAAAAAAATACACCATACATATGCGCAAGCGATACGTTATGTTGCCAGCGCAGCGATCTACGTTTTATCCTATCGGGTGCTGCCTAACTAAAATCCCTATAAAAATTATGAAACGTTGAAGAAAAACATTATTTTCAGTAGTTCTGTTTTGCTTCATCTGTCTAATAAACATAAATTTATAGTAAAATGATTTCTTACATAGCGTATATTGCGTACAGTGGCATCAATTGAAAGCTAGAAACACTAAACAAATTAAGTTTCAGTGTTAATTAAAGTACCTAGATGGCGCTTCTTTCTTTTTTCCTTGGTTCTTTTACTAGCAACTGTCACCCCTCTGATTCAGTACCTAACTGACTCGCATAACTGAAGGTTGTGCTCGTGCGTGTCTTTTGCCATACGTGATTCAGTTTTTTTTTATATTTTTTATGGGTAACGTTTTTTGATAATTTGATTTTCTTATTTTCAGTCAATATTGTACTAACCAACATGCCGTACAAAATAGTACAGACAAAAGAGAGAGGGAGAGCAACACTAGTCATTGTACCTTATATGTGGGAGGAAAATGGTGAATTATGGTGGCCGCCTAAAAAGACCCAGTACAAATTAATGAAAGATGAGTAATCCAAACCCGATAAAAAAGAATGGAGATTAATGTCCTGCATTTTGAAAAGGAACAATATTCCAACATATGAGCTTGCCGATGCTGAATTATCAATAATGGAAGAAAATTCAGACACAGACGCGAATGATGCGTCCCGAACGACCGTTGTTCAAAATCAAGATCTAATGAAATTTGAACTTATGGCCAATAACTTGGTAGGGTCATTTTTTATTATTTTTATTAATTTCGCATTCACAACGCCATACTTTAATATAATATAAGGTAATTTTTTATTTATAGTGTCCATGATTTTGCCTATCTGATGCGTTCACTCTTGTTTAAGTCATTATTCGCACTAATAAAAACATTATAATGACGACCTATTTGGTACAGTGGTCGTGACAGCCGCCTCTGAATCAAGGGTTGCGGGTTCTAATCCCGCATTCATTTCGGTACACACATTTGCGTGCGTGATCATGTCTGGGTATTTACTATGTATAATAAGTATGTAATATGTATATTCAAAAAAGTATATACCTAAGTAATGTTTATCGCTTGTCTTGTATTCAGAGTACAAGATCTGCTTAGTTTGGGACTTGCGGTTTTGTGTGAATTATGTTCAGAGATTATCTATTTATGGACATATTTATAATGTCTTACTTATGCCCGATAAATTTAAAACATATCATATATAATATGCAATACTGACTTACAACTTTTTCATGTTAAAATTATGTCATTTTAATATTAATTGCCCGTGTGTCTCGCTCGCGCCAATACATCATGTAAACACGGAAAAATTCGTCGAGCCAGATGTACGCGTGCTTGAATGATATGAATGACATTATTTTTATTGTTAAAAGATAAGTTATAATTACAGTTCGTCCACTCAAATGGTTTGCAGTACGGCCGCAAGTAGTTAGGGAATTTACTCGTACCTAGCCAAATCAAACACACGACCGATAAACAACACGCGCGCGCCCCTGCATCTGTATACCACGTATCGGCACCTTTGAGATCTGATGCAGCGCCTTTGATCCAGCCAGCTCCATAATATATTGAAGTCTCAGAATACGTATTACGAGCTAAATTATCTAAGATTAAAGTAATCGTTTAATGAGAGTCCATAATTATAAGAATAAGAATAAATATATTGTTTTCAGAGATGCGATCAAGAAAGACAACCAAGCCCATGTACGGATTATAAAAACGTTACAGCTACTGAAAACACCACGAATCATGAAAACATAGTTCAGATAATTAGCGCAGAAAGTGTGAACTTCGATCAAATTTTAACAAACCAAAAAATAATATCCGACAAACTAGACAACATGTTGCAAATTCAAGCAATCACTCTCGAAAACCAGCAGAAAATCGTTCAAAAGTTGGCCACGCATTCTGTGCAGCTTGAAGAAATATCTTTACAACTTGCAGAGATAAAACAGGGTCCAAGTGTTACTTTGTTGAAAGATGCAAACTCTATAGATAACGAAAGTTTTACAATAAAACCCATTGAAAATCAAACAGATCTTATATCACTGGACCAATTACTGACAAATAAAGTAGAAAAAAATAAACTACGAAGACGTTTGTCGTTCTTATGCTCAGCTTCTGAGGGCGAAGGAAAAACTTGTGCCTATAAATTATTAGATATTTTATTCACTAGAGATTTCCTTTGCAACTGTTCATGGGCAGGTGGAAGTAGAGGAGATAGGTCGAAAATTGGTCTTAAAGATTACAAGAATGTTTTAAAATTCTTTCACGGTATGATCTATACTTGGGATCCAACATATACCGTACAAGACAATGAAACATTTTTCAAAATTATTACTAAAAATTCAAGGCAACGGAAATGTATGAAAAACCATAGAATGTCTTCTAAAAGATGTCGCAAGACTAAGGGTAATTTAAATAAACGGCAAAGGAGTGGAAATATAAAGCAACCAGATGATGATGAAAAAGAAATTGAGGGTGAAAACACAGTAATTGAAGAAGATCAGTTAAACGATGAGTCCAAAGAAATAACTGGAGGAGAAAGCGTCCCAATCCAAATACAAGAAAAAAATGAGAATGATGAAGATAGCGAAATGTGTTTGTGTTAATCGTTAGACAATTCATTTTTTTTTAACTTTTTTGTATTGATAGGTCCACCTACTTTTTCGTGCTTAGAAGGTGACGATAACTGTAAAATATTTATTATTAAAATAATTTAAAATAGAAAACTTAAGTAATTATGATAAAGTTTTTTATTGGTACGTATGCAATAATGGTATGAAGTATAAGTATTCATGATGATGCAAACATACTAATTTACATAGTAGATCCTTAGGATCAAGGACAATATCAGAATTACTACCATAATTTTTTACTTTGTAAATGTGTAAATGTGAAGATTTTATGGGATACGTAAATACATCATCTTTATTACTCATTTTTATGCCTTTTATACGAATTCCAGTAGGTCCTTCAACTATATTATTGATTTTGACTATGTCGTTAACTGTTGTCAATACATATCTGTCTTTTGTTTTTGAGGAAACTGCATATTGTTTTAAATGAAGTACTCTACGATCATTCTTATTTGCCTTTAGAAACGGATAATCCAGTTTTTCACTCAACTCAGGATTTAGAATACTAAACTCTGTCGTGGCTTCAATTATTCTGTTTGCTATTTGTGATAGCGGATTTTTTCCATTTCTTAGTAATCGTTTGATACTGTATAGCTCATTCTCAAATGGATAAGCACTGAAAGAGTGTAACGGTCCAAATCGTTCAACCTCTGCAGTGATGAGTATTAAATTGTGCACGTTACTTGTAACGTAGTCCGCTCCATAAAAGTCTTTGTAATGCTTGACAAAATCCTCTAGTATTTCTTTAGCTAATGGCAGCAAATACAGATGACGTTCAGTTGAACAAATTGTAACACCACAGTACAACTTCAGAAAGTGTGAAAATACGTCGCTTGTAAGTACATCTGGCAGTATAATAATACTGAGATAGAACAAAAAAGTTCTATATTCAGATCCTTTCCAAAACGCCAGATGCTCCAGACCTCGCACTGCTCGATGAATTTCAGATGGTAACTTGCACTTGTTTAAGAAATTTGTTACTACATCAATATCTTTAGCACGCCATTTTGTTAAAAATTTACCGAAATTGCCATCACGCCATCCAACTAGTAGCCTCTTCATAATTCCTAGATCAATTAAATGTAATGAATCACCTACTGGAAAATCCTTAACCATATCTATTGGAAGATTTAGCAATTGAGAATCATTCTTATGATGCGCCCCATAAAGCTTATTTCGGAAACCATCATTTGTTCTCTTGGAACAAATTGTATCCGGAAAAGTAACTGTGTGTGAATTGTGAGAATATTCACCAACAGTAACACACTTCATGCAGCCGTGTTTTCCATTGAAGTTACAAACACCTGAAAAATATATTCTCAGATACAATAATTGTTAAAAGAAAAAATCTCGCATTTTGATATTGACTTGCTCGATCGCTCAGTGGATAGTGACCATGTCCTATGAACTATGAACCAGGAGTCTTGGTTTCGATTCCCACCCAGGAAAAATATTCATGTGATGAACATTTGTGGTTGGTTCTGTGTCTGGATGTTAGCAACGTCGTGGTCTAGTGGCAGTGACACCGCTGTTAGACTAAGAGGTGGCGGGTTCGAATCCCGCACAGTACAAATATTTGTGTTCATGAACTGACTACGTGTTCGAAGCCTTTATTGCCGTTGTTAGACTATAAATAGACTATAAATCAGTGCAACGATAGCGACTGCAGCCATAAAGTCTTTCTTGATTTGGGACTATCACAAAGAAATTAAAGAACAGGCGGTAAAATCAAATCAAAATATTCTTTATTCATGAAGGCTTCAACGATGCACTTATGAATCGTCAATTTAAAAATCTACCACCGGATTCGAAAGGGGCAGTTTCCTAATCGAAAAAATTAAGGACACTTACCTTTTATGAAAGCTCTAGCAGGTGAGTCACAAACAAAACATCTGATCTTTATTGTAATTTTCTTTTCACAATTTTGCGATAGTGTGATTCCCTCGTCTAATAAATGATTAACTTCAGCGATAAAATCTTCTAAATAAGTTGTAAAATTTTTAGGTTTTCCAATTCCATAATATATCCCAATTACTAAAGGTTTTATGTTAGTATTTTTAGAAATGTTGCAGAGTATTGGCCAAAATTCTTTCTTCGAGCTTTTAAAAATTGGCAAACCGTCAAAATTTAAATTTAAAGATATGCTATCAGGTCAGCTGCCCAGTTTTCCAACAGCAATGTTAAATTGTGAGTGATTCCATTATGCCAATATCCCTTAAATTTTTTTTATATTGGCAATTCTAGGTGTTTTTACAATGGTCCTTGGATCCATAGGTAATATTTTCGGAATTAATCCATTCATAATTTTCGCGAGATCTTTTAACGCTGTCTGATTAATATTCTTTTCGATTGCCCATCTTCTTATATTTTCACGAAATGAAGAACATTTTATATATTTATCAATATCACTGTCATCTTCACTTTCTTCGGAGCTCTGAGGTCTATCATTTTCAGAAAAATAAAGTGGACTAGAATGAATACGATTTTGTTGAGTATTCTCATTCACAATATTTTTTTTGTAAACACGAGAATGTCGTATCCTGTTTATTTTCAGATCCTACTTGTCCTACGGAACCTTTTTTTATATTGTCACAACTTACTTCGCCTAAATCTTTTTGTCGTGTATTGGTAGAATTAGAAGACATAATTCTAGCATGTTCTTTTGATATTTTTCGCCTGATTTCTCCGGTTCTTGCTCTTATTTTGAATGACTTTTTCAACATTTTGCAGAATAAAACGCTACAGATACAGTATATTTCGCACCACAATAAGTCACAAAATGAATTGATAGAGCCTGTTAGCTGTACTACAAGATACACGTTGTTTTTTTTAAAAGAAAGCATTACATTGATTCACATTTTTGCTTTTTAGCAGTTCTGGGCTTTTACTGACCAGTTAAAAATGCTATTACATAACTTATTGAACAAAAAACATCTTAAAGCTGTATACGATTTTACATTGCATTATAATGGTACGAATTTTTGCTATTTAGCAGAATTAGGCATTATCTTACTACTTAAAAAGTTATTGTAGACCCTAAGGCACTGAAAATAGCTTAAAACTGAATAGCGGATATACGTGGCATTATTATGATTCATATTTAGACTATTAAATAGCATTAAGCATATATTAACTAATTAAAAGTGCTATTGTAAAACCAAATGCACTTTAAACATCTGAAAGCCTTACAGCTGCATTGTGATTTGCTGCCTTAAAACCAAGGGCTTTACAAAAGCATTCTAATTTGCCGTTATGCAACCGTTACTCAGTGTAAAGCATCATAAAGGTTTTGAAATGCCAATATAAAGCATCAAGTCGGTCGGTGAACTTATATAAGAGTTTATACGGACTTTAAGTTTTAATAAGTTTAGTCGATCGTTCGTTTAAATGCTTCCTGTGTTACTTGGGTTGTCGTTGTCTTCGGCTACGCTCCCTGTACACGTCGTCTTGACGACTTCGCAGCCGTTCGCGTTCTCTCTCCAACTCTCGTTCTAATGCACGCAGTCTGTCGTACTCACGAAGGCTGCTACGCTCGCGTGAACGGCTTCGTGGACGACTGCGACCTTGCCTGGAGATGCTGCCACGTTGTGAACGGCTTCGACTGACATTTGTCCCATCGCACGATTGTCGTAGCTGTGACACCATACGTCTTTAGTCGACGTTCCAGTGACTCAGTGTGTTGTTGCATCTGAAACACAGAAAGGAAAAAAAACGATGTAACCATTCAATAAAAACTGAGGTTTCTGTATTGAAATCAAAATACACTTTATTTTATTATCTACCGTCATATTTTTAACGGTGAGGTATTTCTTTTTTTTTATCAATAGTAGGTATCCATAAGTAAAGTTTAAATATAGGGGTAGATTATTTAAATAATTATATGCCTCATTCCTACAATATTAATATATAAAAAAAAATATAAGCAGTATCATATGACAATTATAGGTAATCTTGGTATTATAATATTTGTGTATTCAAATGTTTCTAGAGTACCATAAACAACACTTATATTGCAGTAGAATAAAATTTAACTGTAATTAATCAAACATTTTTTTTTGTTCACTTTAAACAAGGAAAATGACAATGCAGGTACTTACCACTTCTGATTTGTAAGAAAAAGCGGGCTTGCGGATGAAACAAAACTTTTATTCTTTATAAAGTCCAGTCCCTTTCGGTGGTTCTGCCAAGACTGCGCTCGTCCGCCATGATATATACCTTTTTGCGTCCCTCCCCTCCACCGCCATAATTATAATGGCGGTACCAGATATAAGTAAAATCGATACTTTTATTCGAGTAATCAAATGTAATGAACTATATTCTTTTTTGAGCAACCTTACAGTACAATCATGACGAAATCCATGTTTATTGCAGACACGCCACAGTTTATCCCGGCAAACTATAGCTTTTGATTCAGGCGCTGTTTTGTTCATATTGCAAATTCATTTTCTAAGTTTTTTATTTCATCTACGTATGTTCTTTTAATAGCTTAAAAAAATGTTTCGCCACCATCAAGCACCTCCGTTTCGACCAGCACACCCTACATCAATATTTTGCCATGCCTATCGAAAGTGTTGGAAGGGGTTGTATTTTATCAATACACGAGTTACCTAGAAGTGGGATGGTTTCAGAGTTATCTGACAAAGAGACAGACAACAGCTAGTAGGGTTGATTGGTACATGGGTCTGGTTCTCGACGGTCATTTGAATTTTGAAAGCTGACTGATTGTGTTCGGAATTGTCCATATCGGCTTAAATTATTGTATAAAGTGAGACCTTTCTTAAGCATGCAACTTAGAATTACACTTAAATATTCTGAATCCTTGATTAAACAAGTTAAGTTATGGTGACACTGTATACGGTTCATGTCTGATGGCGAAGACAGTTATGCTTGTTCAAAGGGTACAATATGCTTGCGCACGTTTCGGTTTTCATATCCCACCCAAAACTCATGTGACGACATTCTTGAATGATGCTAAAATGCTTAGAATGGAGGCACCGCTGCAATACCATCTTGCTTCACTACTATTTGGCATAATTTAAACTGGAAAGCCGTCTTATTTATATGAAAAATTTACTTGTGATCCACAACAGGATATATCCGAGAAGAATGTGTAGTGTGTAGTATTTTTTCTACGCCTAAGTATCGATCGCATTGCAGCTTTTCGGGGTTCTTTTAGATTTGCAGCATCGCGGTGTTGGAACGATCTAGCCTTCACTACGTGACCTAAAAACATTAAGGAATTTTAAG